GTGTATAATATGTGCATGTATATACACATGTGCATATACATACACACATATACATTGTTCAAGCTGTGGAGAGAGCACAGCCATATGCTTATTGAGGTTCTCACTGGAGCCAGATGGGCAACCAGTTAGTTATGGCGTCTGCTTGCTCTTCCAGGATGGTGTAGATGGACAGTGCTTCCCTCCATAAGCCCGGGGGCTCATGCCTTCCTGGGGTGTGACTGGCTGCTGTGGGGTGAGGCCAGGAGATGGGAGCAGGGCACAGGGCTGGCTTCTTTCTAGCCTCTCGGGCCCCTGGGCTGATGGAGGCCTTTTCCATCCAGCTCTTCTCCTCCTTTCTCCCTCCAGTTCTCTGCACTTGTTATGGCCTCTTCAGTTCCTTTTAGCTCCCTGGCAGCCAGATAGTCCTACCTCTGTACTAGCAGAAATCCCATCTAAAATGCCCTCACTACAGGAACACCCTGTGCCACTTGCCACAGCCCCTCCCTGTTTCCCTGTAGCTGGTGCTCAGTGGTTCTGGCCCATCATGCCTCAGTAGGTGATGCGTTGAGGGACAGGAGCTGAACAGTTGAAAGATCCCTGCCTTTCTCCTCCGCCCCCCTCATTCTTGCGGTATTTCTCTATTATTTATTTTTACATCATTTTGTGCCCTTTTCCATTTCAGTTGTAATCCCGGTGGGCTTCCCATCACCAAATCACCCGTGTGCCATCACCATAATCCTGTGTGTACTCGCCCGCCCCCATTTTTGATTCCATTCCCAACTCCACCCCTGTAAAATGTCACTGGTATAGAGTTGTTTATTATTATTGTTGTTGTTATTATTACTATTATTATCATTATTTCCCCCCCTGGTCCTTTATGCTTCTGCTATGAGTGAACCCATTCAGTAGTTTTCTTTATCTTTCTGGCTTATTTCACTAAGCATAATTCTTTTCAGCTCCATCCATGTTGCTGCAAAAGGCATGTGTTTATCTTTTTTGATTGCTGAGTAATATTCCATTGTATATATACGTACCACATCTTTTTCATCCAGTTGTTTACTTTTATTCACTTGGTTTTACTCCATGTCTTTCCTATTGTAAATAAAGCAGCAATAAGCATGGAGTGCAGGTGTTAAAAATCTCCACTTTTAAGAAGTTCATTCCCTAGTCACTATGGATCACCTGATTGTTCTCAGTGCATGTTATTTGTCTGAGTTAGCATTGGCTGCAGGTGAAACTGACAACATGGGAACATGGCCTGAGATCGGCCATTTGATGTAGTTATGTATATAAGTATATTTGTGTATATGCATTTATCTACTTAATTATATATGCATTTATTTGACTTCTTGTGAATCTTCGACTTGTGTATGTTATCAGTCACCTAGCAATGGACCATCTATCAGTCATCTAACATCTATCTTTCTGTCAGTGACTCACCTCTCTTATATTCATCCTTGAAGGCTGGCCAGGTCTCCTCTGAAGCAATGGGGCTTTGGGGCAACTGCAAGGACCTTGGTGTTGCCCCCACAGCTCCAGACCCCCTGGGAACCAGTGTTTCTTGAGGCCCAGAAGCTGCCAGGGATGTAGCCCCTAGTGCAGGCAGTGTTGTGAATCCATGTATCTGTTCCAGGATTCCTGTGACCCTTCAGGTCAGAAGAAAGAGGGTGCAGTTAGATTGGGGCTTTTGGAGGACACTGCTGCCTCCTGGAACCTCAGAATGACAGTGGGGAGCCCTCTCAATCACAGTAGAGGTGTGGGCAGTCCCATCCTAAGCATAAAGGGCTGGGTCTCCCTTGAGCTTCCCACCCCTCCGGGCATGACTAACCAGCTCTGCTCTTGTTTTGCTTTTTCACTGATGGTTTGCCCAACACACTGCACCAGAATTTGTACCTTTTTTAGTGGAAATGCAGGAAAGTTTAGGAAACCCCAAACCACCAAATCACGTCCTTTTGTGCTGGCTGGTATTTGAGGGTAGTGGTCTCTACAGGGCTGCGGCTTCACACCTCTAGGGGTAAGACAGACTTGTGTTTAATTGTAAATCAGCATGACATAATAAATTTATTTCTTTATAAATCCCGTATTGTCCCACTTGGCTAATATATTGTGTGCATGACAAAACACTCATGGTAATGAAAGGTAAAAGCTGGCTGAGTTAAAGGGACTTAGGGCAAAGTGTGCCTCCTGCTGTGCGCACACGGGCTGGGTTGGGGTGGGGGGCGGGTCTCAAACACTGAAACAATGGACTAGAATCACCTGATTGGCTGAAAACCTGGCAGGGCCCAACAGCATGTTGAGGATATGGGGTTCTGTTGATGATTCCAGAGCCACCTCCTTTGGCGAATGAATCAGCGCAGAAAGGCAGTCATCAGGAGGCAGGGCTGCAGGACCAGCCCTGATCAGGCCCTGATCAGGGCTGGACCTGGCGTGGCAAGGGTGGGGGCCATGCTCGGGCTCCTGCAGTTGCTCACAGTGACTCCAGGCTGCAAGGGAGGGTCCAGTGCCCGTATGTCCACCAGCCCCAGAAGTGCCTTATTGCCTTGCCTTCTGGCAGGGCATGGCTGGCAGAGGAGGGCAGGAATATTTTCTTCAGGACTGCAGGGCTGAATGCCACCTGACTTCTGATCTTCTGTGCTGACTTCTGGGAACACTGAGCTCTTGCCTGCTAGTAACAGAAGTAAATGTTTGAGCTAGAAAGGAAAACATGTAGATGGAAGCAAAAGTAAGGTAAAAAAAGGTAATAGAACATTCCAGAAATAAACTACTGCCTAATCAGTCTGCAGTCTGGCCAGATATTTGTGCAGCAGTGTGTGTGTGTGTGTGTGTGTGTGTGTGTGTGTGAGAGAGAGAGAGAGAGAGAGAGAGAGAGAGAGCGAGAGTGTGGAGAGTGTGAGAGGGCGAGCGCCTTATTCTGTGGCACTGGCTTTGGTGCTGTTTGCTGTCCGGCTTCCCAGGTATCTTTACTAAAGCCAGCACACCACTGCCCCACCTGCAGTGCGTTTCCTCTTAGACAACTTTACTGGATTAATCCAGACACATGGATGAACTTTTAGGCTATTGTTTATTTTTTAAAAAGGTTTATTTATTTATGCATAAGAACTGGGGTACAGGCCAGAGGTTCAGGAGTGGTGAGAGGATTCACCAGAGACAGAGTGGGGAGCAGAACAGGCCAACTGACGAAGTACACCGCTGAGGGGAGCAGCGGGTGGGTCAGGAGAGGTCTGCTGTGCCATGTGGGTCAGCTCCGGGGCGGGAATTGAACTGATGATGAAGTCGCTTTAGCTTCTTAGTGCTGTGCTTTAACTCACTGCGCCACCAGGGAGGGCCCTATTGTTTATTTTTTAATGGTTAAATAAATAATAGTGAGACTATTACTATAACACTTTGCTAAGTTCTTCAGGATACATTCCTCACATAGCTAAGCCACTTGCTTTGTGCCTTTTAAATGCTTTTTATACATACTGGCGGGCTCACTTCTAAAAGGTTGAATCAGTTCATATTTCAACAAAACCTTAGGAAAATGAAAATACCTCATTGTTTGGAGTTCCTCTGATCTGGGATATTAAAGTTTGGGTACAAGACTATGGGGAGATCAACAGAATCACCCCAATTCTGGCATTCCTCAAACTGTGCAGGTTGGTTTCTGGCTGAAGGGCTGTTCTTGGTCCAGGCTTGTTCAACCACTGGGGGCTGCCTTTCTGTGCCAGTTCTGGTTTTAACTCAATGAGACTCATCTCACCAAACCCCGACCACCTCTGTGAGAGGAGACAGTGATTTGGCCAGGGAGAACCAACTAGCGGATGTGGATGCCTGGTGAGACCCCTCTCGCTGGGCTCGCAATAGGTGAGATCCCTCTGGAGTGGGCTCTCAACATGGCCGTGCTTAGAGAGAGCCTGCACTAGGTCAACTCCCTCCAGTGGGTGGAGACCAGAGCTCTGAGGATTGAAGCTGGTGCGATTTCCCTTGGTTCCTAACTTTATGTCACTTTGTTATATACTGTGGGGGCATAGAAGCCAGGTGCCCACGTGGCACCCTAGGTGAGGTCAGGGATGCAGGTTTTGTTTGAAAGGGGATTTTTGAGAAGAACAGGGGAGCCAGGGGTCTTGCATTCCTGCTGCACAGGTCACTGGGTGTCATCCACTTGGTGTGTACCTGGGAAAATGCACTGAACAGGGACCAGGGATGGAGCCCATGGGGGGTCCCTAGGGACGGGGCAAGGGACGGCAGTGTGTGGTAGGAAGGGTGCTCTGGGAGCCATGCCTGGGCCCTCTGGGGCTTTCCTTCCCAGGCCAGCTTTCAGAAGACCTCTCACTTCTCTGAACCTTGGTTTCACCTTTATGAATATGGGAGATAGTTTCTACCACAAAGTTACTGGGTGCAGCTCCTGGAATAGTGTAACAGTAACTTTTTATCAATAGATAACACTCCATACATTCGTGCACCTCATGTAGCCACACACCCTCCCATTCGCTCACACAATCACAGATGCTCACACATGCTCGGTCTCACAAACGCAGGAGCAGAAAGGTTATGTCCACTGTGGCGTAATCATAGCCTGAAGCTTTCCTCCCTGCTGGGTAGTTTTTAAAAAGAAAGAGCAGGTAGAGCTGAGCGTTTTCTCAGTCATTGATTGCTTGCTTCTTCCAAGGAAATACAAACAATGATTGTAGTAACCAGGGCAACATTGCTGGATACCTCTCGAGTACCAGAGAAACATGTACAGGTGTGGGGGACCGTCCACCTTGCCATGGTGAGAGATGCCCACTGTCTTGCTCAGGCATGCTGGCAGCCAGTCCTGCTGCTAGTGAGTGGTTTTGTGTCACTTGGGGTATGCAGTCCTGGGGCCCAGGTACCCTGAAGTGCAGAAACACCCCCAGGTGGTAGGTAGAGGCAGTGGTCAGGATGTTTGACTTACCATTCATGATTGAACCAGAACACCTGCTGTTGTTCCTCCCCTGGGGTTGGCCTTGTGTGACCAGAAGGACATGGAGGTGTAAGATGACCCCTATTTGTCATTTCAGGTACTGGAGGTTTCCACACTACCCACGTCTCTCTGCTGTAATAAGACTTCCAGGTGAGTGACAGTCATGTGCTTCCTTCCCAGGCCTCTGCTTTGGGTTGCCCTCGGAGGAAACCTGGACATGGTTTTACTTTTTTCTGTTGTGATCTGTAGTTCTTTTTTGATTTCAAATAAGTGCTGGATGGCCATACCTACCATGGTCGTGCCTTTATCTTGACATTAGAAACCCAGATGGTGGAGCGGTGATCTGTTGATAGGTATTTAGATGTAATGGCTTAATTGTAAAAGTCCAGCCACTTGGGAGAAGGTTCCAATGAATGTGGAATGTGCCATGCTGGCCTCTGTCGGGAGCAAGGGCCACGGGTGTTGACATGGGGATGTCGCTAGAGGAGAGTTGGACTGATTTTTACGTCAGTGAGCAAAGAGTCTGAGTTTTATAAGCGACAAGCTCCTTTTGCATCCATGCCTGATGAATAAGACACAGAAAACCAACTCAACTGTAGGAACTATTAGGATCCTGATTTTAATACATCAACAGCAAAAAATAAATTCATGATATTGGGTATCTGATGATGTATCTGCTAGGTCTGATAATGACACTGTATATTTTTAAAGTATCTGTCTTAAAAAATTATGTGCTAAGATATTTCTAAATGGCATGATACATTATCTGGGGTTTCTTTGAAGCAGTTGAAGTGGAGGAGGAAGTAGGGGCATTGATGAACAGGTAGGCTTTTGTTGATAGATAGATTTAATATTGAAGGATGGGTACTGGGAGATTTCTTAAACTATGTTTTATTTCTGAATTTACTCAATTACTCAATGAAAAGAAAGGGAAACACACAGTAGGAGTGTTAAACAATCACTGTAAGTCCCCAAAGCTGATGGTACTGCTTTCTGGTAATGCCTTCCATTTCTTTCATCAGTGGAAACCATATCCCATGAGAGTCACATATTACTCCTGTTTCACTGAAGCTGTTGCCCTCTGTTGTAGTTCTTGTTATCGCATCCTCCCTGCAGCCAGGGAAGGCAGTGGTCTTTGATGAAGGAAGCAAGCATGGAAGGCTGCCTGGAGGAGGCATGGTCCCGGCTCCCCAGGCTCCAGGTGTGCCCACATGTGGCAAGCCTTCCACTGCTGGCTACATGTGCTTGGCTTTTCTGCCCTCCTCTATCCCCAGCCTTTTGCCAGACTCCTGCCCTCACCCTGTTTGCCTGTATGACCGTGCACCTCTCCTGCCAACACATAGCCCTCCCAACAGACCCTTGCTACCCTTCCTCCATGGGGAAGTACCCTGTAATTGTGCAGTGGGTAAAATTTCTTCCCTATCCAGGGTCAGCCACCTCCCCCCTAATCCGCTTGCCTTTACACCTCCCTTGAGTGCTACAGGCTGAAAGAGAGATGCTTGTCCTCTGGCCTTGACTGTTCTCACAGTTAGAAACCCCTGCCTGAAGGCACTTCTTGCAGCTGCCTGATGTTGACGGAGACCAGCCTGGGGATAGGCTGTCCATCCCGGTATATCTCTGACCCGAATAAGTCTGCCAACCTCTTGCTCCCTGGTAGCTTGTGTTCTCTAAGGCAGGACTAGAGTAATAGAGACTTCTTTCCTCCTGTGATGGAAAAGTCTAGATGTGAAGCCAGAATGGATCTCCTGGTGTAATCCATTCCACGTGACCTAGAGACAAGGCCCTCCACTTCCAATACCTGTCATGGTCCCCCTGACCACACTCTTTTCTCTAGGCCACCAGCACTGAGCTCCACCATGGAGGACCACGAGCTGGACCTCACCTACATCACTGAGCGCATCATTGCTGTGTCCTTCCCTGCTGGGTGCTCCGAGGAGTCTTACCTACACAACCTGGAGGAGGTGACGCGCATGCTGAGGTCCAAACATGGGGACAGCTACTTGGTGAGCAGAGACATCTTCGAATATGTATGCGAGAGAAACTGAGGGGAGGGGCTGCGTGGACGCTGAGTGGAGACACTGAGGGGACATGGAATGTGAGGGTGTGGTGGTGTGGACGGAGTCTGATGGAACTTTCAGAGGCACTGTGTCATTTTACAAGAGTGAAATGAGAGGTGGAGCCTAAGGTTTGAGGAACAGCGTAGAAGTGGCATCTCCCTGATTCTTCTCCGACTTGTGCGTTTCCTATCCAGAATGCAGCCCAGGGGAGGTGGAGCCGCACAGCTCAATCTCCCTGTACAATGGCTATTATTTGAGCTGAATTACTCTCCCGGCACCTCTCTGAGCTGCCCTGCATGGATGGCCTCTTTATCTCCAGGAAAGCAGCGAATCTTTACCCTATACAATGAGGTCCTTACTGTCATCCTCAAAGTCCTTTCGGATGACTGAAGGGCTGGAGCAGGCCAAGTGGCCCCAACGGCCTTGCAGGAGTAGTCTGATTGCACTGGACCCTGGGCCCTAGACCTGGTTGCAAGTAGAGCGTGGAGTGAGAGTCCAAGATCGTCCCATCCTGTCTTAGGAGTCCATGTTACTGGATAACTTCCCGTCTCATGATTACCTGCCCCCAGGAAGGCCCCCTGGCGTGTGACCCAGGTGGCTGGCCACTGCAGTCTCCTTCACATGCCCTCTCCGTCCCTTGCTCATACTCCCTCGAGACCCAGTGAGGGGGCCTAAATAGCACTGGACTGGGGTGGAGCAGTTCTGTTCTTCATGCTGTTGGGGACCTTTGTGGGGTCTAGAGACCCCTGCAACATGGGAAGGGCTAGGGACCTTTGCTTGTTTTGAGACTGAGACCTTTCGAGTCTAGAGAGAGGCATGTGTCTCCTGTATAGATTCTGAGTGAAGACTCCTGGAGTTAGGGGTCCTCTTCCCCATATGCCTCCCAGTTGTGCCCTCTGGTGATTGAATGTGGTGACAAGAGAGCTCCCCAAACCACAGACCACGACTCAGGCATTCTGTAGGATGTGTCTTCTTAGGCAGTGTGTGTGAGGCCTGATCTTTCTGGTGGCATGCATGTTTGTCTTGTTGTAACAGGGCAGGGAGAGAGGGGCATCTATGAACCCCCAAACCTGCCTGCTCTAAATAGGTTCTGTCATCTGCCACAGCTAGACGAAACATATAAGACCTTTGATGGAAAGGAACTTTAATACGACGAGTGTGCAATACAGAAAAGACAAAAAATACAGTTTCTAAATCAAACACCCAAAGTTACCTGTCCCCTTGTAGATAAAATCCACCCAAAAGGGATTGGCCCAAAGCAAGGCCTGAAAGTCCAACACAAGCCTAAAACACCTTGGGACCCATAGAAAAGGGTCCGAAATGGCCAGACAAGTCTGGGAGGAAAAGAGCAAAATCAACATCAAGATAAAAGCTGACCCTGTTAACCTCCCCACGGGTCTCTCACCCACATCTGTTTCAGCCAGTCCAGGGCCAAGAGACAAGTACTTCTTCATATTCTCTGCTCCATGTGCCTCCCTCAGGTCTCTCTCTGGCTCTCCATGCTGCTTCCTTTTTCTTCAGACTCCTCTCTTCTCTCTGCTCGGCTCCACCCTCCTTCTGGGTGGGTCAGGGAAGCTGGAACCTCCCCTTTTCATGGGAATCACATAGTGTTGGGAGGCAGCCTGTGTGGGGACTATGTCAGGGCAGAGACAGTCCCCCACCCCGACCTCCAAGCACACACACATGCTAAATCGGCTCGTGCCTCAGTCTGCACCAAGGGCTTCTGTATCTAAAGAAGGACCTGGGTGAACTTCTCAGGCTCCTTGCTCCCCTGACATTGCCCTTCACTGCTAGAGGTCTCAGACTCAGGATCTACCTGCACCTCTGCTTTAGCATGAACACAGCAGATGGCCCTTGACAGTTGAGTGCCCCTGTGCTTTCTGGGGCAAGGCTAGACGCACAGGATTGCTTGTACCACCCTTATGTATTTGTTTAATTTTGTTTGTTCTTTATTCCACACACTTGCATTTCTATACATTTAAATCTCTTTTAATCCTCTTAACTTGGAGGCAAGTGGCCTGTGAAATGCAATTGTGTTTTCTCTTTGATCTGGAAAGATAATGATTCATCTAATGTTCTTTCACTTCCCCTTTGCAGGTATTAAACCTTTCAGAAAGGAGATTTGACCTGACAAAGCTCAACCCAAAGGTATGAACTTTACCTTTATGTTTTATTTAGTTTTGTTGCTGTTTCTGCAAAGTAGTTGTTTCAAGTTTTTGTACTATGCATTTAAGTTATTCGAAGTGGTCACTTGCTATATATGTGTAATGTCACTGATATGTGTATAGCGTATACATGTGTACACCCACATCATACAGTTGACCCTTGAACAAACACAGGTTTTGCTTTGTGGGTTCATTTATATGTGGATTTTCTATGAACAGATGACATACAGGTACAGTATTGGTAAACACAGCACACTACTGCAAATATATATATTTTTAAAAGATTATTTATGAACACAACAGCGGGTGTACAGGCCAGGGGTGCAGGGGATGAGAGGATTCACCGAAGACAGAGTGGGGAGCAGAACGGGCAGATGGATGTGCTCAAGAGAGCAGCTGTGTGTGTGTGTGTGTGTGTGTGTGTGTGTGTGTGTGTGGTGGGGGCTGGGGGTCAGGAGAGGTCTGTCACGCCATGTGGGTCACCTCCCTGGCCAGAGATTGAACTTGTGCTGCAGTGGCTGGTGATAACTTCATAGTGCTGCACTTTACCCTGTTGCATAACTAGGGAGGGCCCTGCAAATGTATTTTCCTTTTAAGGGGGGGAAAAATGAATTTTTTTTTT